AGAAAAGTTTTCTAAACAAATCTGGACATAGATTTGCAATACAAGCCAGTGAAAATGCAAGTGGTAGCAACTGTCATTGAAGTCAATGTGAAAACTGCTTTGACAGCAGCAAGCAAAGTATTTATATTTTATACAAATGTCAGAACTACTGCTCTGTTACGAGGTCACTTAAAATATTTTTACATCATTTAGATTCTGTGCTTGCTGAAGAGACTGTCATCTCTTATAACAGGTTCGTGACGGGACTGACATCTTTCAATATTTTCGTTAGAAACCACTATGATGAGATAGCGAATATGTTTGTTCATTTTTTAGTAGAGGCCTATTATAAGAGTTTTTGACTGTGATGAAAGTTGGGATTAGCAGTGATAGGTAGTTTTTCAGAAAGGGATCTGAGAGTTATACTACAGACAAGCTGAATATGAGTTGATGACAGAATATTGACTTGGAAAGCATGAAATGTGAAGTAATCCTTTTGCTTCCTGTGACACTGGTAAAACTTCAGCTGGAATATTTTAAACATTTTACTGTTAGAAAGATGTGAGTAAGGAGTCCAGAGAGATTACAAGGAGTCCAGAGAAAAGCAATTAAAATTATCAGACACCTGGAAAACAAGACTTATAAGAAAAAGTTGAAACAATTGTCTACAGAAGGTTGAGGAATGACATAACAACAGTCTGCAAATATATTTGAGGCTGCTGTAAAGAAGACAGGATCTTAATGTTCCCTTAGGAAAGAACAAGGATTAATAGCATGAAAGCACAGCAAGGTTAGATTAGGCATTAAGGAAAAAGCCTCTGTGAGGGGAGATATTGGAACAGAAGTTTGATAGGGAGGTTGGAGAAGAACTTTGTCACTAAAAATCTGTGAGAATAAGGTAAATAATCATCTCGGAAGTGTTTATGGTTGATGTTGTCCTGGTAAGCAGAAAGATGGAGTATCTCTTGTGGTCCCCTTTCCAGGCATGTTTCTTATGACTCTTTATGCGCTTGCTTGAGACAAATTGTATTATGCAGTTGTTCACTGTTTCATGCTTTCATATATGAAAGGAATACACTTGCTCATGCTTTTTTCTGCATCTACAAATATATATGATTACTATGATTAGATATTTTCACTTGGCTTAGAGAAATAAGCACTCATGTTCATTTATTTTGTGTGAGTGTGTTCTTCAATCAGCTTTTGGCTTTTGCTGCAGAGCAAAGGATGTCAGCATTCAAACACTCCCTAAAAGCTTTTCCTATTTTACTGGATACATCTAAATTCCACATAGCCATGCTGAATGCTATCAGTCACTCTTGATTCGGTTGAAATGGTTTTAAAGCAGTCAGGGAATATATGGGGGTGTATGCTGCTGAGCAGCTGATTTTTAAATTGCAAACAGTTCTGTATGGTTTCTCACGCACCGTCTCCTATGTCCGTATGACAACTTGGACTACAACCGTTTTGATATTGTTACAGTGTATGACTTGAAGTTTTCCATAACTACACTATTAGGAAGTTTAGATTGGATCAGAGTAAAGGTCATTTGTTGTTGATTATCTCATATGCTTTTTCTACTTAATACAAAAGGAAGTCAGTGTATTATTCTTAAATGTTCTGTACTGTGAGATTCATAGTAGGAAAAACTAAAACCATTCTTGACCTTACAAGCTTTGTTAATCAGTTTAGATCTAGTTATAACAAATCCTGATGATCTTACTGGTCTTCTTGGAAGGCAGCATATTTCCAGCCTACAGTGAAGTCCCAGTAAAAGTTCCCATCAACCCAGACAAAGTTTGTTTTTGCATGATGATCTCTTCAGTTGCTTGAGGTTTCCTTTCTTTCCTCCCTCTCATGACATATCGTCCAAACATTCTTAATCTCCAGAGGAACTGCAAAACACGTTCCCATGAAAATCTTAAATCTCTAAAAGCAGTACACAAGAAAAAAAGAATAAAAACACTGTAAAACTAGCCTTGCTTGTCACTGAATGACTTGAGTAAACTCTTTTGTCACAGCCATAATAAAGTATAATCTTTAATGTCCAGGACTGCAATCAGACTCTGTCATAAATGGGGGTATTGCCTTTTTGACTGATTTCTATTATAAAACCAAAGGGCTCATTAATCTCATCTAGGGCTTTAGCAGGGGGGAAAAAAAAAAAAAAAACGAAAAAAAATGAGTGAGCGAGCTGTGATAAGGTAGCTTTAATGATTTGGGGAGGCTTATTGGCTCTATATCTTTGGTCTATCTCAAGCCACAGCAGTTCTCTCAATGAGGCTTTTTTCCTAGAAATGGTGGTACCTGACATGATCATTATGCAGTAGAGGTCATTCAAGAATGCTTCAATTCTGTATTTCTTTAGCACACCATAAAACAAGAAATGGCTTTTGGTCTTCTACAGAAAAACGGTAAAAGGCTTTTACTTAAAAATACTTCAGCATACTTCAGACATTCAGCCCTGTCAACTGGTTTTTCAGAATCCTTCATGTACTTTTCAGTGAGTAAGCGTCTCCTCCCACTGAAACTTTGGGTTTTAATATTATTGTGAGAAATGACTGTGGTATTCCTTCTAGTGGGTCTTGTCTCCTATACTAAGTTGGGTTTATGTGTTTTTTTTAATTTCGATTGCAAAGTGTTTCCTTTATGAGCAGCCGGCTTACTTAGACACATGCAGGAATGGAGCTTCACCATCTGACTGACTGCAGGGCTTACCTTGCGAGAGAGGCTCTGATATCACAAGACCTTGAGCAAAACCAGGGAAAGCAAATTTCTACATTGTATTTTGCAGGTTAACAAGGGAGGACAGGCCTACCACCTTGGAAGACAGTCTTAAATGATACTGAGAAATTTAAGAACCTTGTAAAACTGCTTAAAATCATCTTATAAGTAAAGTTAATTTATAAATAATATAAATACTAAAACATCAGTTATATGTTCAAATGAATCCTTTAGCAACAACAGTAAGAGAATTGGCTACTGTTGCCATTATTACATTATGTGGAAGTTGGCCCACAGCCCAACCCAACAATGTTAAACACCATATTTCTTCCAGTAAAGTAATTTCTGATTGCAGTATCTGTTTTCAGCTCAAGTAGCTTAATGTGGGAGACATGGACTATCTCAGAAAGGGCTATGTTTTCATAGTGTAATTATGTCTCTTGATGCAGGTGGCCATCAGAAATCAAATACAAATTTTGGACATAATACATCATGTGGGACCTTTAGAGAAGTAGTTTTGACTTGGAATATTTTAGCTCAAAAACGTAAATGCAGAAAAGAAACAGATTTGTTTTTTAAACATTCTCAAGATGCTAAAATGCTTTTAAATCAGGATTTAGATTGGATTTCTGTTCACAGATAAATGAAAATATTAACTTCACTCATTTTCTGGCTCTCTCTTTCTAATTGGCTTAAACAAATTGACTCCTGTGACCCTAATTGCATCAATTTATTTAATACTTAATGTCTATTTTAAATACCACTGCTAAACAAAAGATAAGCTAAAAGATGAATGAATGAAGGTTCTGGGAAAATCTTGCTCTGAAATCAGTAATAGGCACAGGTTTGTAATTCTCTGAGAGCTACAGCACAAAACTACACAATAACTATGTAACAGCCATACTGCAACATAACTGTCATACTCTGAATTCATATCTTTCATAATACAGAAAAATGCGAAAGGAAAGAGTTAGGATGGCTATTGTGCACCTTCATCATTCCTAGTACTACGTAGCTGGAATTGAATAACATATTCAAAAAAACATTAATGGCTGGGGCTGCTTTGGGGTGAATGACACCCACAGGAGATCTGTGTTCATAGTTATCTTCAATGCAAAACAGGAAGAATTTCCAGGCATAAGAAAGGGGAGGCCACCTGAACATTTCTTGTGACTAGGACTTCAAGCTGCAGCCTAGAATCTCACAGCAACTTGACTTTCTTTCTACGATAGTAGAAGACAGGCATTTTTATAGGAAAATGAGGAAAACTCCTGGGAAAGCTTCCCTGTCTCATTTATGAATGAATCAGCAAGCAGAGTGGGTTCAGACTCAGCCCATGTTTTAGCAAGAAACAGAGATCCTCAAATTTGTTTCTGCCATCAGGCTTCCCAAGAATATTTAGTTTACTTGAATTCATTTTGTATTAAGGGTTAACATGCTGTGTATACTTCCTTTGAATATAGCCCTCTAATCTGTTTACATGCCTCTGTATACACAGTTGTGATGAGGAAATCACTGCAGTAGTTCTGTCTGTGCAAGGATGCAGTATATCAGGCCTTTCTGAAACTATCAAATGACAGGTTTGTTAGCAGAAGCCCGGCTAATCTGTTTTCTTCTGCAATAGCATGCCATAGTCACAAACCATGCTAGTGGTAAGAAGGCAAGACATGGTGTCAGGTTCTGCACCTCATTTACTCCAGGGTGGATACAGAGTAACTGTACAGAAAACAAGACAATGTATTTAGGTTTATTCTGTTGTAACTTGGGTCAGAAACACCCCTTTAGAATTGTGTATATTTAATGATAGCATCATATATTGTATTTTTTTGTTGGTGGTGGATTGTGGAGTTGTAGGTTTTTTCCTTAAATTCAGTTCTTGCCTACTGGGGAGTTGATATTTCTGTCCCATCCTCTTTGAGAGCAACTTTTATATATTTCAATACCAGGAGAGAACTTGTTTCCAGATTCACTTTCAGGCTGGAGTCAAGAAATTAAAGCAATGAGAGTTTAAAAAGAAAAGTAAAGAAGAGCCAGAAGAAAACATGTAAGCTGCAAACTTGTTCTGTTGTTGGCTTTCTCACTAGGAAGCTCTTGCTGTGAGACCTGTCTCTGCCCCAATTAGTCAGTGACCACCAGGCAGAGCAATAGAGCTGTCCACATTGAGGAAGGGAGAGATGAAATAACGAGGAAGGTAAAAATGGAAAAATAAATGTGAATAATGAGTTACAAATATTTAACTGTCTTGCATGGTTTGCTATTTTTGGTGAAATTTCTCATGTAATTTTTCTCTCTTCAAGGGACCGCGCTCCCTTCATCTTCACGTCAGAGATGGAGTATTTCATCACAGAAGGTGGAAAAAACCCACAGCGTTTTCAAGAGTTTGTGGAGCTTTGTGGTCGAGCTTATAATATAGTCCGGAAACACAGCCAGTTACTCTTGAAACTCCTGGAGATGGTAAGAAGCTTGAGGATGAAACCAAAAATCAATTTCCTCTGGTGTCCTCTTCCCTTTTACCACTTCTCTGCTGCCTCCAGTAGCAGTGTGATTTGAAGAGGTATCAGCTGCACTGCAGGAAATGTTAGTGCTGGCCCTTCCTGTGCAAAAAAACTATCCAGTTTCAGTACTAATTTCTGAGAGAACAAAACCTAAGCTGCTTGATTTTTCCCTTTTTTTTAATGCATTCTTTTTTACAAAATAGCAGAAAGCTGCAAAAGAAGCCGGGTACAAGTTACACTTTCAGGAATTTCACTCAGCCCTTTTTCTAGGTCTTCTTAACAGTCATTTTCCAATCCCGTTCATGGTTACAGCAAGACAAAATAAACTAAATATTTCACAGAGTGGGTGATGTGACAGTACATAGCAGCACTGCAGCTAACAGTGATGCCATTAGAATGTTTTTTGCACATTTCCACTCTCCCTTCTTAGGATAGCAAACACAGGAAAGAAAGAGCACTACCTATTTTAACACATAAAAATCCTTTTGTATAGGATTTTAAGACCTCTCGGAGTTTTTATCCCTTAAGTATTCCTACTGATGCACATGCTGTGGCAGATTCCATAACTGCTTTATGCCTCTGTTTATGTGTGTGAAAGGTTAATGATTTTACCCCCTCACTGGTACAATGAGGATATTAAATTAACTATTATTTGCTAAGTTGCTTGGCTAAGATATTAATCTAAGACTTATACCCAGGGTCCCGTGCAAAACCTAGGTGACTGGTCTGTGCAGGAAAAAATCTACACAACCTTATGAACAGAACCCCTGCTGAGGTTGGGGTACAGCCAAGAAGTTGCTCTGTAAGCACTTCTCTATCATCTCCAACTTCTGCAGTGGGGAGGGGAGACATGGCAAGAATTTGCTCATCTTGTTTCTGTCTTGTCCAGGGATTCTCATGCAGTGGTACATGCATTTCCCAATATGGAGCAGCAAGGATTGCCCCAGATTCTTAACCCTGCTTCTAAGTAGTCAGAAAGGTGCAGCAAAACTTGCATTCCGATCATAAAGCATAATTTTGCACTGAAAGCAGTGCAGAGTGCAGTCGTAGGAGATATTGTCTAAGTTAAAGAGCCTCTGGAAAACTCAGGACCACCTATGTTCCCTCATCCACAGCAGTAATTTCTGTGTTTCTGAACAGGTTGCCTAAAACCTCATGCTGCAAATATAACTACATCTTCTGCCCACCTCCTAGTCCCCAGTGCAGTCCCTTTTTCTGCAATCAGCAGAGATAATGGTGTTCGATTACTCTGGGATAACAGAGAGAGAGTGTTAGGAAAATGTTCCCGGCAGGAGCTCTGAAATAACTAGCTATCTCTGCCTGGATATAGCTTAGGTTTGTCTGTATTCAGGACATGCTGCATCTTCTTTTGCTTCTGCTGATCTTTAAGGAGAAGTAATAGTGCTGAGCTAAAAGTCAGCATACAGATATGTTTTAACATTTGTCGATGGGCTGCAGTTCAGTCAGTTGTGTTGCATTTCATAATTGAAAAATAACTGACAGCATACTCACACCCCATCGATGAGCACTTCATATCAACAGGAAATTAAACAAACAAGACAAGTTTGCGAACACCTTGTTTTTGCCAGTGATGTTTAGAAGGGTGAGTCTGGTTCTGTACTCGAAATGAGGTGTTGGTTGGAAACTGTAATTATCAAAATGTTTTAGTTTCATGGGTCATTTTTAGAAAAGTAAATAGACTGTGGAGAAGTTCCACTTTGAATTAATTTCCGTGCAAAATATCAGATGTTATCATGAAGGGGTGAGATAAACTAACCACTGCCTATTTGTATCAGTGACAGTCTAAGATTTCTCTCACTATCTGAAAATCTGCATCACGAATTTTTCCTTCCCCTCCCACATTCTGTTTTCTGAGACGCTATTTATAAAACGTGGTTAAAAAATCTAAACAATAAGGCTATTTTAAAAAAGCACAGTACTTCACAGGAGTAGGAAACTGGGCTCTGGATGGTCCGTAATTGTTAGTGGTTTCTAGCAAACCGTGAATATGAATGACAATTTAGGGTTTTTGGCCTAGTCTGGGACTTGATGCTTTTTCTTGGAGGTGAGCAGCATGTTTCCAGAGCTGTACTGACATTTGCTACTGGGAGTAAGAAATAATCTATGAAGTTTCCATCACTTTCAAAAGCAGAAACATCTGTGGGAGACCCAAGAGTCTGCTGGCAGAGTTCAACTGCATGCAAATGCCTGTAGTTCATCAGCTTTGCTCTCATTAAAGAATTCATGTGAACTATTATAAAGAGGGTGATTGCAGGACACAAACACCTTTTGATTAGTTTAAAAAATGCAAAATCCGTTGCTGCTATAGATTTTTCAGGTAGAAAATTATTAAAAGGGGCTTAGAGCTGGCACTAGACAGCAAGTAATTGATCCGCTTGCCTCTGTTGTGACAAGAAACAGGTCAACCTAGTAATATAAAACAGGAGACAGTACCTAGACAGAGCAGATCTAAGACTCAAGAGTCCCATGTCCCCATACAACTCATTTCACCCTTCTACAACTCAGAAACACCATTTGGGAAAAGAGGATCAGGAAGCACCCCCGTTTTGGAGGTCTAATGCCTGGAAAGTATATGCCAGGACTATTCATTTTTCATGGGATGGCAGGCTGAGCGTCACACACCAGGTCTGAATCTAGGCCCAAGGAGAGCATAGGCAGCTCCACTCAGTGAGTCAGAAGGGCTGGGATAACCAAGTGTGGTAGGTCAAGACGTGTGGCCAAACGAGGGAAGCAATGCAGGCACTTAAACTTAGGCATCTAGTAACATTTGAGTTGCCCTAGGTGACCTGTAGTTGTTTTCTGAACAGTTGTTCCATGTCTTGTCTAATTAGCATGTAGTATCACTAGCCACAGTTTTCAGGAGCCTCCTCCATCAGGGGACGGGAAACATATGAAGCATCTGAAAGATACGCTATATGGAGCAAAAGAGATGAAGCACCGTAATAAGCTTCTAAGACCCCCTTGCAGCCAGCAAAGCACTGTGTAGGTACTGCCCAGCTAAAGACATTTTTTTGCTTCAGCAAATGGCTTTCCACCTTCAGCAACGCAGAGAACCTGAAAAGAATCCTGGTTTTCAGTTGCACTACAGATCATTCAGATTATGTTCATGTCTGGCATTGTTCCCTTTTCTAATGCAGGGCAAGAAGCTTAATTTGCCTATGCAGCAACTCTTTTTTCTTTTTAAAGGGGACAGGAGTTGTTACCATCTTTTAGAAATGGGATGAAGGCATATAGATAAATAGCATTGTATGTCCTTAAGTGCTGAATATTGTTATTGTCCCTGCTCTCAACTCACTTAAATTCACCTCATTGAGCTTTCTCATTTTCTCTGCTCCTTGCTAGCCAGAACTCTGTGAGACAGCAATCTAACTGTCCAGTGGTAGTATAGATTGGGTCAGATACTCAGCAAGATTTTCCTCATAATGCCAAAAAGAAAATATAAAAAATACTGAAACTTGACTTTAAAATATGAAGAAGGTTTGAAGGAGTGAGGAAAATACCCCTCCATCTCTTTTCCCCTTACTCTATTCATCTCAACCAAATCTGAAAATAAAAGCAGTGCTTCCTTTCTTCTTTGCTGTTACCCGCAAAACTCAGTGGGTCTTTCTGTCTGAGCTAGACATAAATATCAACGAAGAATGCACAACAGTGACTGCAAATTCAGATACATTTCCTTCCGAGCAATGTGAAGGAGTGATTTTTTTTTCTCCATTACACACAAAGCATTGCTCTCAACTTACTGTGGTTGTTGAGAAAAATCAGTAGGTTTTGAAGTGAGTCAATTATTTTTGTTGTTGGCATTTTGAAATGCCTGGAGAGAGCTGTATGGGCAATTGGATACACTCAGTTGTCTACCCTACTCCTTGTGTTACTTTGCAAGGGGAATATTTGCATTATTTGTCTTTTGAACCTAACCTGACAACTAACTAGAACAGATTTGTCCCACATCCATGAAGAATGGTACACTTCTACAGAGGGCAGTTCTCTGTGCCCAAGTCAGGGCTCCTGCTTTGAATGGACATGTAGAGGAACCTTCCTCCTCCATTGACTGTAAAGGGAGTGAATCTATGATCCCTTTGCAGGAGGGGTCCTGAGCAGCGATGGTGGAATCAGTAGTTACAAATGAGGAGGTGATATTGTGCTAAATTGGATTAGGACTAGGATGACAGTGTGAGCATAACAGAAATGTGGTTAACTGTTGCTCAGGTGGCTGAATTTGGTCGCTTTCCCTTTATCACCATTAGAAGGCTATGAAGGAAGCTTAGCAATGCACACATTGAGATTAGGATATCTGAAGACAAAATAAATAATTAAAATGGATCAATGATTTTGACCCATGCCTCTTTCCAGCACCTCAGTGTGAAGGTTTACAATGCAATATATTTACTTTAGTGTTCCAGGCATTGCTGTAGCATCAGAACCACTTTTCAGATCAGCAAAACTTCGTGTTTTACAAGAAGTCCTTTCAGTGTAAAACCTTTCTTTTCCCGGTTAGCCTTATTTCATTTAAATTCCTTTTTAATAGTTAGTGGACTAATGATGTTTCTTTACTTTAAGATGCTGCATGCAGGATTGCCCGAGCTAAACAGCATTCAGGATCTGAAGTATGTGTATGATAACCTCCGTCCTCAGGACTCAGACCTCCAGGCTACAAGCTACTTTACAAGGTAAAACCAGAATATAATCCAGTAATCCAGAAACCTTCTGTCCTTCAGGCATGAAGCAAAGCTGTCAAATTAAAAAAAAAAAAAAAAAGCCATTTTTCTGTTTTGTTGAGGTTGTAATCAATGAAATTACACAAAAGGATAATTGGTCTTCACGTGTTTACTTTAAAAAAGTCCATTCCTTATGCACATTATAACCAATCGTCTCAAATTTCTGGCAGAAACAGTTGTGCAATTGTGGTACACTTGTAACAAGTCACTTTTTCAGTGCCTGGAGATTTCTTCAGCTTTCATGGTGAAACCATCCTGGTTTATTTCTAGTCAGCTTTCCTCTCTGCTTTTAAATGCAGCAGCTGCATGCAACAGGATTTGGACTGCATAAAAAGGTTCAACTTGTTAATGGACTGAGTGAGGACCTGGAATTCCTGCAGTTTATTCCCTTTTCTTGTTCTTTTGACCTTCTGTGTTGCTTCAGGCAAGTTACTTCCCCTCTGTTAGCCATAGTTTCTCCATTTGCAAAATGGTACTGATCCTTCCTGTTAAGCACTTCACAGATCCATCACAGAAAAGCATTGTGTGTGAATATATGTATGTTTAAAGCTTGATTTGTGTTAGGATAATGAAACCTTTCACTTGTTTGTGATAATAACTGAGGATTATTGATGAGAAGCTGCAGATGACCGGTACAAAATCACTTCAAAGCTTTCAGTCCTGATCTTTCAGGCATAATGCAGAGTCATTACGTATAATTCCAGCTGTTTATGTGATGATGCTGTAGATGGAGCCAGTGGAGACTGACTGGATTTGGAAACTCACTTTCCCATTCTAGGCACAGTATGAGAAAATCTGTCCCTGTCAGACCCTGTCCTTTGCAGCACCATCATTTTCCAAGGACAGTCTTAGAATGCACACACCCTGGACACCACGTACGCATGCAAAGCAAGCCAGACTCTTCTGACCTCTTCCTCTGGCCCAAGTGCAGAGCACATATCCAGGTCACAGCACTAGACTCTCTAGTGAAGGGCTCCTTTCAAACTCAGAGCCCTAAAGGACACTCCCGTCACGCAGCACTGTGCAGACTGCCTTGAGGCAAGAGCAATGCCCCTACCCTTCAGTACAGCCAGAGGGCACGTTGCAATGAATAAATGAGATGAAAGCTTGCACTGGAGTAGCTGAGCCAGTCTCACTACTATTAGAGAGGCCCATATGAAGATTTTGGGCCATTTGAATTGTGTTGTTTATATGTCTCCTTTTCATGTATTAGAATCGGAAACTGAGGCTGCAGGTTCAGAGAAGGCTGGAACAGAGACCCAGAGAGTTTAAGGAAGACCTTTCTTTGAAGAGAAAGAGGGGAACCTCTCGGACAAAACTATTGTTCCATCACTGTACACACAACGGAGCACTGAGTTCCTTTGCTTTAACACTTGTTGTTTCATATGCTTTCCCTCTTTCACCTTAACAAAATTGTTTTATTTTAAAATTTAATTACAGCTTCACATTTAGAGTGTCCTCCTACCATATCCTTCCCTTTAAAATTTCACATATTCCCAAATTACAGACTTACATTTCCACTTCAAATAGGAAACATGCAGTTTCTAATTAAAATGTAAAAGTCTTGATTCCCTCAAATACTTCGGGTTGTTGTGGCTGTCCCTCAGGGGTAAAAAAACCCAATTAATTTCATTAGTGAATAAAGGCTAAGATATACGTAACAAATAGGGAAATGTGAATCTTCAGAGTGAAAATTGCATTAGTGTCCTACAAAGCTCAGAGCTAGTGCCCAGTGCTCTTCTGGACATGGAAAGGATCAGTATGCTTTTCAGTTGGGTAGGACTAAGGTTATGGTTAGGGTTAATGTTGCTGCAGCCTGGTTGAGGTGGAAGATGAAGGATGAGGGCTGGGTTCAGGACAGAGCTGTAGCTCCGCACTCTTTCTTGGAGTTGTTCAATGTGGTTGTGGTGTTTTGAGGATTAGGGTGAAGGAAGTGAGGGACTTCAGAGTGGGAATTCAGCTGCAATTTTAGCCAAAGTGTATGGAATAACAGTTGGCATTAGGAAAGAGATGTGGCTCAACGCTGTTTTGGAAGTGGGAAGAGTTGGTGTGCTTTGTTGCCTGGTAGAGGTTCGTATTAGCATTAGGATATCCTGTTCAGCCCAGAGAGACTATAGATAGGTCTCAGAGGCCAGTATGTCCTTCTTCCCATTAGATCTCCTGTTAGGGTTGATGCTAAAGTAATGAAGGCCTTCACAGTGGAAATACCACTCAAGTCCTGCTTACCAACAAAACTGTCATCATGGTGCACATCTGGACAGTGCTGTGGGCTCTGTTCTTATCTGAAACTGTATTTTCTGCTAAAATGTTTTTAGTGAACTCCAGATCTGTTGTTCCAATTTCATTTGAAATGCTGAAGTGTAGATTTGTTATTGTCCATAGAGGCCATTACATCACGTAGAAAAGTCAGATATTGTTAGGGTGCATATTTTGTTCTTTACTTTACCTTTAGGGTATGTTTGTATTATTTATGTTCATTTGCAAGAAGAAAGTCTCTTGGCATTATTGATACTTTTTTTTTTCTTTATTCTAATTTCTGTTGATGTTTGAACATAATTTGTGTTAATTCAACACATGTATTAACTAGCATTTCTACATGTCTAAACATGGGCAGAACATCAGGTTTCATGTCTAGCAGTATTTGAACTTCTGAAAAGTGTATCCAGGCACTTTTCAAAATAAAGACTTTGGGATGGCCTGATACCCAGATCCATGCAGAACTTAGCCCTCTGCATAAGCATCTTCTGACCTGTCCCCAGGAATGTTAATATATTGAGGTTTTTGTGAGCTTTGCGTTACCTATGTTGTCTTTATTCCTGTCCTTCAGAAAAATTTTTCCCTACCTCCTTGTCATACAAAAAGTACAAGTGGGAAAAAATCCAGTCACCCGCTTCTCATGGTCACTGTAGCTTATTCCTGTATCTATTTTCAGGCTGTCCTTAGAAAGCCAAGGAAATTGAAAGTTCTGGTTATTAGCATAACTTCCAGTAGGTCTTCAGTCCTTCACAATTTGTAGCTCCTTTTTCTCCATAATTACTTCCAAATACATTTTATTGTTTCTAAAAAATTCTTTTCTAGGTAAGGAGTGTGGTCATTGGAATGTCAGAATCTGCCAACAGAAAGCTTTGCATGTTCTAAGTACAAGGTAGTTATTGTAATCTTTCAGATTTGATCATATGATGTGAATCTGCTGAAAACCCCAATCTTCTGCTAGTGGAAATAGGAGAACAGTATTTCTCTGTATTTCTGTAGAAATAGGTTGCTTTTAGCAAATGTGGGAGTTCGGTTTGAGCAATAATACTGACATTGCCTCCACTGTTGTTTAAAAACAACATGAAATGAGGAACAATATCACAAATATTCCTGGCAAAAGAATGTTAATTTGTTCTTTGCCGTCACCTTTTTAGCCAAGAGAATAATGCTACTGGAGATTAGACTGTAATGTACTGACCCCTTTCAGGATTGTAAACTGTTCTGTGTTTTACCAAATTCCTTTCCTCTCATTCTTGATTTAAGACATGTTCAACAATCTGTGGTGTCATTTGTGTACTGTATTCTTCTCACATTGGGTCAGTTCACTGCTATGAGCTGATGAGCGACAGTGTTAAGCCTCACATCTTACAGCCTTCTGGAAGGTCACACCCTCAGATCGTGGATAAACAAGGCACCAATTGAGAGTTAAACAAGAGTTTCTGTGTTTGCTTTTCAGTTCTGTGCACCTAGTGCCAAATGAAACATTGTTGTCTCTCCAGCATCTGCGCTGAACTCAGTTTGATCCTTGAAACTCAATTTGATCCTTTTCCCTCCCTCTTTTCCTCTTCCCCTGACAACATGGTTTTACCAGAAACTGGAAACTCATCTTACCTCTAGGTATAAATTTCTTCTTTGGTTTTCTGCAGACGTCTTCAAATGTCAGCATGGTGTCGCATGCTGCCTGACATTTTTAATGTGCCTGTAAAGGGATGTATATTTAAAATTATTTTTAAGGGATTAAAGTTAGCCTATGCAATGAATGGAGTTGATTTCAATTGATTGCAGTATGCAATCTAACCCACTCATAGAAGTCCATGAATAAGAGATGCACAGTGGATCTGACAGTTACCAGCGAAGCACCATTGCGTATCTTCAGCAGCTTGATTGAGGGCGGTGCTGCTTGGGTCAGCTGCCATCTTTACTCATTTATTGAAAGAATCATTTGTTAGGTACCTGTCATTGCCCAGGTCAAGCATATCCACTCCAAACCACAAATGCCAGCAGCTGCAAATATGGACAATTCACAGTAACTCCTTTCAAAACATGACGCTAATCTCAAACTGATCAGCCAGTCCCTGTTTCTCAGGTGACTGCAGATATTCCAGCAAGAAATCTCCCAAACAACTGAAACACCAGTGAACACTGGTGACTTCTGAAAGGGCGTGGACAGAACTATGGTACTAAATTTCTCTCAGCAGCATTCAAGCAGTTTGTAAAGACCGTGGTATATGTGCCTCAAAGGAACAGAGGCAGACTTCTTCCTTGAATTTATGTTGTCTGAGGCATTCGTACTGTTATACAAACCCCACATGCCAACAGACCAGGGGAGAAGAATGTCCTCTGTTCAGGGAGAGGCGCATAGAAGGACTAGTAGGGAAGCTAGACTGGAGGATGCACTTCAGGATTGTATGTGATGTGCTCAGCCCATGGGATCAGAGTCAGTCTGAAGTAAACTTGTATTTTAAAGCCTAGAAAAATAAGGGGTAAAAAGAATATGATTATTTCCCATATACTGTCACAGTGGGAAATAAGGTATTAAACTGACGGGTTATCACTGCTGTACACAAAAAGAACATCAACTGTCCATGAATAAATGTTGCTGAAAATTAGAAAAGGTCTGTCCCTGGAAGCATTAATATTCTGGAAAAGTCTGTTAAGAGCTGTTGGGGGCATACTACCCAACTTGTTTTAAAATGGAGCCTGGTAAACTCATGGATGGAAAAGTTGGATAGAAATGAAATACCATGGTCATTACCATCTGAGAATCCCATGAAAATAAATTTTGCTCATTATATTCAAAATTATTTCAGGCCTAGATGGCAGGATGCTATCAAGAATGATAAAGAAAATTATTCTGAAGTTTGGGGTGAATATTTGTTATTATATACACCAAGACTAAGATCTGGATAACTAGTCAGCAATAATAAGTGTATGTGCTCTTAAAAGGCTGTGGTGAAAGGCTGGTGTGTCCAAAAAGATCTAAGTACCAGCCCTCAGAATACCTGTCCCATAAGAAATGTCTACTTCCTAAAAATCAAGGCACCAACTATCACTAGTCACTTTTGAAAATGTTAGCCAATCTTTTCATCCATCTCTGTTTACACAAGCAACCAACCAGTCTGTGCATGTTTTACCTGATACTGTAATTTGACAGCTCTGTAGAAAGACTGTGAGCCAAATCTGAAATTCAAAGTCAGTGCAGCAGGTGGAAAGCAGAAAGTCATTACTTTTCAATAATCCCAGAAATTTAACTCAGTTTTCTGCAAAGTAGGTCAGACACCAATCTGTGTAGTAAACAGATATTGCCATGTAGAAAAATATAATTTTTCTGCCTGAAAAGTGTGTTAGCAATATTGTGATTCACAATTAATGTTACTCTAGTTAATGGCAGTTTCCTGTTTTCTTTTGATTAACTTGTGCTTTTGATGCCTTTCGTATAGGTCACCTCAGTTTTCCCATTTATAGACCATTAGGCACTAATTCTCTAAGCAGCTTGGGCTACCAGAGCTCTGAAATAGCTATGAAAATTTTGTCATCTTTGTGAAGGCAGAGCCAGTTTTAGGCAAAGATGGTAATGGCCTAGGGAGCAAGAGGATCTCAGCACCAAATACCCATGACCTTACCAATTTCTTTGCCTATGGCTAAACTTAATAAATATTTATGGCTGTAGAGAAAAGAATGTGTATGGGGATCTCGAAGAGTTCAAGGAGAAACTTCCAGCACTGATCCTTAGGATGAACCTTAAAAATGCTAGCAGAAAGGGGAATCAGATTACCACAATGTGGTGAACCAGGTCAGTAAATTAATCCACACAAAAAATAAACTGCAAAAGTAAAAAAGATAAGACACATGGGTTTGATGTACCCCACTGCTCCATACATAGTTAGGAACCAGCTCCTGGGAGGCTGTGGGAAAGAGGTTTTCCTTAAGCCAGTTTGCCATTGAAAGAAAGTCCAGAGAACCATAACCAGAGTTGTTCCACCTTGCTGTGAAGACATGCTCTGAGATGTCATCAGAAAAGTAGAGAGACCTTTTCAGTTCTTTGTTGATAGCATGACATAGGGATTGCTTAATGCTTTCTATTCTAACAGGGAGGACTGCATACAGAGAAAACAGAATATCGAGAGAGGGAGAAAACAACATTACTTCTGGTTTTATTGTATTTTAAATGTAATCATTTAAAATAACTCACAGGGAAAATCTGCAACAATGACAACAAAAGCCTCTGTTTAGGTTTAAAGTATGTGATTAGCAATCTGTGTGCTGAAAGTATTTTAGAAGCTTAATGAACCCATGGAAAGAATAGTGGTATTCTGATATCAGCTGTTCTGCGTAGTGATGATGTCTGAATTAATACTAGTTTATAAGCTGAGACCTGCTTTATGCAAATTAAAATGCACTGTATTTAGCTGCAAAGTTAACATGCCTCTTATAGTAATATTGCAAATTCCCTAACTGCTTTGCTATAATATGGCCCAGTTGCAAATTCTATAACCTAAATCATGTCTCAGTGATTTAGGAAGTGTTTAAACTATGCATTAAATTAAATACATAGGAGTTAAAAAGGAAAAGTTCACCACAGTTGCAACCTAATTAATCAGCACTGAATTGATTTTGTACTAATATTTTGAAATGAGATTTGTTTTCTTGTTTTCCATTTGAGTCTTCATTTGTGTCATATATTAAATAGTCTGTATGTATCTGTTTCTGGAGAATGTAATTAATAATTAAGATAATTAACTGAATCAATTGAGAGATACCTTTCCTTGTATTACATTAAGAAAAACATATATATCTTCTTTCCTCAGTTTAGTATGCCTAATTGGTGTATGATAAATTCACACAGTATTTTGAATGAAATCTCAATTGGCGGGGGTGAGGTGGGGGTGGGGCAGGGCTGAGCTGGGGAGCTATCTGCAGGTAGAATGTTCTTTTTGGTATGGTTGCATCTGTGAAGCTACAGACTTTAGCCAGAACATCTGAGATCATGAAAATTAGGCTAATGCAATGAATGGAGTTGATTTCAGTTGATTGCAGTATGCAATCCAACCCACTTACAGAAACCCATGAATAAGAATTTAATTTAAAATGACAGGTGAAGCATTTGCTCAGCTTTGAACAGGGGATGATGAAGGTGCTTAAGGGTATTGTCAGCCCTTATAAACTAGTTGGATATAGTCCAAAACTGGAGGAAGAAAAAGAAAAAAACTCAAAAAAAACCCTGACAGTTTGGTAGAAGTTTGCTGCCATATGGCCTGAAACTAATGGGTTGTTGTTCTATAACATCAGAACCTATCCAGAATATCTTCAGAGAGCTGTAGAAATAAGCAGGAAAATAGAAAAAAAATATTAGCCTCAGAAGTTAAATGGATCTTAACCAGTAATTGAATTCAAGAGGGCAAGTGTTTCCTGATGAGTACTGCATCTTACTCTTCAAAGACCAGTGATTATGTTGCAATGGTATTTCTCAAGTCCAGTTCACTTTGATGTTAAAACACATTTGCAGTACATGTCTACATGTATATCTAGTTACTGTTTTATCTATTGTGTCTTTTCTGATGAAGGATCTTAAAACTCTAGGAAATTAAAAGTGTGTTCTGGCTCCCCTTGCACAGGGATGAGATGGGGGCAGATAGGGAAACAAAATTTCTCTTTGTTTTTCATCTTAGGCAGCTCTGCAGGAATAGAGCTTTTAAAAACTGGGTAGAGGATTTAGCAACACATCATGCACAGCTAAATCCCAAATTGGATGCAAGAGCCTTGTGCAAACACGTGTAAGTCCATGTGAGGTTAGTGTAACCAAAAAGAAAGTGCTGAGGCACTCTCTCCTACCTGTCAAAGTGAACATATGTTGTTCTACCCTGGAACTCCTCAAAACACATGGAAATGTTCTGTCTGTCTCTGTTGTCCAAAAGAAGACTGATGGTATCCAGTTCCTGAAGGATAACTACCCCGAGGTAAGCCATGACACAGGCTATGGCAAGAGCACTCCTTTAAGCAGTAGAGCTCAGGGGCTGGATATGCTGTATTGCTGAAAATAGCGGTGATGGGTGTGTATGTGGGTATGTGTTCGTGTGGAGTAGGTTTTACAATTTGGGGTTTTTTTTCATTCTTGCATCCATGAAACCAAGGATCAAGAAATGGAAACAAAACAGGTGCATAAATCGCTCCTCTTCTGTTTGTTTGTTCTTCAGGAAAATAAAGGAAAGTTTGGAGTGCTTTCCCGTTAAACTCAATAACTTGATCCACACGCTTGTACAGATGACAGCGACAGGCTCTGCAAAGCCTCCAGCTCCAGAGACTGTCCCCCAAGAATGGATGATGCTGGACACACAGAAGTCAATCGCAAGAGCCACCATTTTGGGGTTCAACAAAAAGTCTGACTCTGTATGTATTATGTTCTTTGCTTGCCCTCATTTGCCTTGATCTTTAATGACTCTTCTGTGAGCTTAGATACTCTCCCTCCTCCTTTATAGAGGATGTGCTTGTGCCACATTAAAAGGATCACAGGATGAACAGCAGTGCCATAAGCTACCGGAGAGAAAGAACACCAGGCAGACAGCTATTAGCAGGGAGCCATTAAGGAGAACAGTTCATGCCCTATAGTGAAAAATAAATCAAGAGCTAATTAAAGCATCCAGAAGGAAAGCATGGCACAAAATTAGGAAGCCTAATAGAAATCGGAGGCTGTTATATGATGCTTTAATGGTGCATTATTAGTTTTCACATACTGCAGTGATCTTTCAGGGTTTGAGTTGTATGCTATCCCGGCAAGTTTCTCTTTCTGTGCAGCAAAGACTGTAAATTACAAACTGAATTCTCTGGCACGTGGCACTACATTAAAGAAGGGGTTTTCTTTGTTAAAATCAGCCTATATTTTCTCTTGTACATTTTTTTTAATGTGCCTCTCTGATCATCTCTCTTTTCTGCCTCTTCCTTTTCCCCAATACAGCTGTATCTAGTCCAGGTGGTGCAAACCTGCAACGTGGTCACTTTTGTGGAAAAATCATTTGACCAGTTCTCAAAACTTCACAGCCATCTCCAGAAGCAATTTCCATCACATGCCCTCCCAGAGTAAGGCAGCATATTAGCAAATGTTATTCTGCTGCTAAATGGTTCTCTCTGTGCACAGATAAAAATGTGAGAAAATGTACGGCAGACATATTTTTAGAAACACAAAGGCAATGCAACATATTATATCAAGCCTTCTATTCAGCCCCAGAAGAAACTGGATCATAGACCATTGTGACAGTCTAACTTTTATGTAGTTTATTGTTCCTTTTTCTAATGGGAGGAGAAGGGGGGAACAGTTTAGGCCTGACACAGCTATTCCTGAAATAAAAGGGTAAGTGGTATTGACTTCATTAAAGGCACAATAGGGCCTTTAATAGGTTTTATTTTCTGCATGATGCTGATCAAAACTCATAGCAAAATCCATATATTAAAGCAGCATAGGAATGTTCACACTGGGTCAGAACAGAAACAAGCCAATCTCTGACACTGGCAGGCATGATCAACATTTTTACAAAAAGATGCACATACTCCCCAGCTAAGAAATATGCAATAATCTTATGTACTATCCTGGCCCCAAAAAACGATTCTTTGTGCCTTGCATGATTCAGTTTAATGTCTCTTGAAAAATATGCTATCATTAGTTGCAGTAATTCTGAATATTACTTTTTATCCATGTGCATGTCTGTTCCTGCTTTTCACATTCTGAATCTTATTTCTTCACAGTTTCCTGGGACAGTTTATTTTTGTCTTATGTAAACCAGCTTAGCCTTATGTAATGATTGTCCATGGCTTTGGTAATACAAGTGGAGTTACATGTTCTACGAATGTCATATATACTAAACTGCATGCGCCGTTGAGAACAAAGTAGTCCTCTCTCGAACATTCATGCTGACTCACCTGAAACAAGCCCCTCTTCAAGCTCAATCTACAATAAACGTAAAGCTGGCCAAAAAGACAAGCAGTTTACTTGAACCAAGCTGAGATTCAAGTGATATGCTTGAAAAATAGAAAGGTCTTTGAGGTTTGATCTGAAGTAAATAGCCACAAACAACATGGTTTTGACTTAAAAAATAAAGTCCACGAATTTCAGGTCCAAATTTTATATTTCCCCAAGCTTGTGCGAGGCATTCAGTTAAATGGCTTTAAGTTAGTTAATTCTAGAGAATCTTTCTCCTGCCTGAGGGGACTTTAATTGACTCCAATTTAACTCATTATAACTGGCTCACATGAACTGGTTTGCAGCAGTTGGTGAGAATTGGAATTTCACTAAACACTTAAAGTGCTTGAATCATGGTTTTGATTTGGAGATATTTGCATGCTAACTATTAGGTTGTAAAACAAAATATTTAACAATTACCTATTCATGATTTTTTCCTGCGATGGGCAGAGCCCTTTGAAGGAAAACATATTTCTCTTTAGAAACACGTAGACCTCAGAAACCCTGTAGTGAATTTCAAAAATAGTACTAGCCATTTTTCAGATAAATCTACCTTTAATAAAATCCCTCACAACATTTTCACTGCAAAAGAGAGTTCCAGAACTCACAGAGGATTAATCTGCATATACTGAGGCTGTGTCTAAGAGCTCCAGAGCTTTATTGTCATAATTCAGTCCCAGCAGTAACCTGTCACTGTATGATCTTTCCCCAAGACTGTGTTAAAGTAATTCATTTTATGAAGTTTCTGTGTATGTATGTTCTTTAATGTTAAAGTTTTGGTTTGTTTTCTAACAGAACTTTTTAATTTTGAGGTTTTTCATGTATTCCAGGTTTTATTCTAATAATAAAAACCTAATTATTTCTTTATAGGAAGTTATCACTAAAACTGCCATACCATACCAGACCATTGGTCTGTGTGTTACAAAGCTCCAGCTCTGGCCAATGCCAGGTGCTTCAAAGGAAGGAAGAAGTCTTGTTCCATAATGTAACCACAAAATCGGTTTTAAAATGTATGATTTAAAAGTAAAATCTCTAATATTACTAGAATAATTAGAACTGCTAACAGAAAGGACTTGGTTACTGCTTTGTATTGATTCATGAAATTGTATATATTCACGTCTCATTAGGAGGAAATAATGCAATATAAGTCTGCTTCATACAAGTGCTAAATACTGGCTATATCACAAGAAACTAATGGCAAAAGCTCAGAGTTCTCAGCATCTGAAATTTTGCTACTGACATGTAAACATTCAGCCCATATTTATAAGCTGCCCCAAGCAAGCCCTTGCACTCTAGCACCTTTCCATCTTATTTGGTTTCAGACAGAGTATTAATTGCGTTTAATTATTGTTTTTTAAAAGGCCAAAAATCTTTTCACCCAACAAAGCATTTAAGTGATGGAATTTATACACAGAATGTTCTTCAAGCTAATAAGTAGGAAATGAAATCTGCTATGTAGGATGTCCGTGTGTGGCACAAGTTTATATTTTTCTGATCTACTTAAGGTACATGCAAAGCTCAAAGTCAGCTTGGGAAGTTAACCTTTTCTAACACAAGTGTGTTCACAAGTGTGAAGTCAGTTTCAGCCATAGGCACTATTCAGCAAAAGCATGAAGGCCTTTTAAAGAAGTGTTCAGTACTACCACAAGATTCATATTGTCCTTCACTGCAGCAGAGTTATTGGTGCTATCAATCAGCAGTTTCTCTGTCCTCTGTTTGGCCACTGTGCTTAGGATGCATCCTCTGAGGGCCTACATTTTACAGCCAGAGTCCTCTCTTTGTGTTATACAGTCTAATTAATTTTCAGCTGCTTCCAAATAGATCCTCCCTACCATCTCTTGAAAGAAGACTTTTTTGTGCCCCAGAGGAACCCGGAACATTCACAGGCTATCTATGCATGCCAAATGACCTGGGCTCTATTTTTATCTGTGCAGCTCCTACATGTCATGATCCTGGGTCATGTCGCTTCCCCCACCTCATTATGTGTCCTGCCACTGTAATTTCAAGAGGCAAGAATCACCTCTTCATTTGTACAGCGCGTAACTGAGCCCTGATCTTTCAGTGCTATAGGCAAAAATAATCAAAAGGTCATACATACATGCAATGTGCTGCTATCATCCTGGCCCCTTGCCTTTTTAATTGCAGACTAAGTTATACCAGTGCTGAGTTCTTCCTCAGAACTATTACACAAGATGGGTAAAGATCTGCCTGCTCCTAAAAAGAGTTACAGTATCTCTTGTTAATCAGTATTGTCTTCATAAAAGGCCTGTTACAAAACAAGCTTAAAAAAGCCCAACCCAACAAGGTCTAATTACATTTCATAAAATCTAATTGAATCTCTTCGTAACAAAAACTGTGGGTTAATCATCTTCAGTCATTTTATTTTCACTAGGTGAGGCTGCTGTTAGCCATTTTTACAGCTGGGTGGTTTGCAAAGCTGGCCAGTGTTCCTCTCTAGGGATGGGAATCCAGTGGTCCACGTTGCTATTTGGCTGGCCTTTGGAAAGCTGATGACATCTTATCACTGAGCTGTGGAATCAGGTAAAACCTGTTCGAAGTAGGATCTGACCAGCTGCCTTTTAAAAGGCCAGCCAAGTGTCTCTTTTCAGTGTATTGCACTGCTAGATGGCTCTTTGGTAATTTGTCTGAAGCCTTCAGATATCTCTTCAGATCTAGTGGATAAACAAGGTTGTACCAGAAAAAAGAGGTTTGTAAACAAGACATGATTAACTATTTACAGTGGTGGTGTAACATGAAATACAACCAGATCAAAACTTCTACCTTTCTATGTCACATAGATTAGAGGACATAAAGCATAATATTAGTTATGACTCCCAATATTAGCAATCCATATCACAAAACCCATTACATGCAATTTAGCACAGATAGCTTTTCTAATGCTCCTTGAACCTGAGAGAGAAATAGTCTTTGTCAGGGCAAGGTTAATGTAAATTGATTATGTGTATTGTTAAAAATCTAACCTTTTGACTGATCTAATGTGCGTTGTCTCTAAAATGCAAAGGTGATTCAAGTAAAAAAAAAAATGCGGGGTTTTGACATTTTCAATCACCAATGTATTTGAAAATTGACATAAAGCCATTCTATGCATATGTGGTTTATTTACTAAACTGAAATGAAGTTCATCTTAATAAAAATTCAGCAAGAACATTACTATTGTTATTGCTTTTGTTGGGATTGATTTTGTTATTGTGACAATCATTTGTTTTCATATATTACTTTTATTATACTAGCGCCTGAAATTACATGTGGGATCAGGGACCTGCTCTGAAAAACTTATCTAAACTAAATAGCTGAGGTAAAAAAGCAAGCAATGATATATTCATAAAATGTCACATTGTTGCTGTAAGGCTTTGGTATTCAATATTCTGTGGTAAGGGTTTGTATAGCATGAGCCCTGGGCTGACTTGAGAGATCTGTTGTGCTGTGCACAGTGCAAAAAATGGTGAAGGTTGTGTTTTGCTGGGGTCATAAAGGGCCAATTTTTTAGAGGTATTTAGATACCATAAAATGCAAATAAGTGTCTTTTAGGTTGGTTGGTTTTTGTTTGTTTTTTTTTTTAATTAATGATTTAGACAGAAAAAGGGGTACAGTATAAAACAGAATATCAGCAAATTATTAGAAGAACCAGAGTCAGAGGGTAAACAGTCCTCTGGACACTGTACCCATCCCTGTCCCTACCTGCAAAATCTCTTAGAGAGTGTTAACTTACTTCTGTTAAGTAGAGCTGGAAATATTTTCAGCAAATACAGTACAAGAGTTTTACTTACAACTGTTCTTCTTTTGCAGGTTTCCCCACTCAAGGCATTTACCTTTTACAGATCTTGAACATAGAAGGGTGAAGGATTTGAATCTTTATCTGAAACAGCTATTAAGTGGACCCAGGAAACTGGCTAATGTGAGCGCTTCCAGTATTTATTTTATTTGTATATGACTTCTAGTTGCATTGTACCAAAAGAATCAGGAAGCTTTCTATGGCCTTATTTGAAAAAAAAAATTAATTACATAAATGACACATCTTCTAATGCAGTCGTTTTGAGATGGAGCCATTGTAGCATTCATCAGAACTTAAGACAAAGAAAAAATGACTGAAAAATAGTTTATTAGACCTGGCAGGGCATTTTTCAAAATAACTTCTCTTCCTTTGCTGCCATCTAAAAGTAGTGATTCACTGAATTTTTGACAGTAAGGAGTAGGTTCTGAGGAATGTAATGTCTAAAAAGGGAGTAAGTTTTGAAATATTGAAAAGTCTGATTTTGACAGTTTTTAATGAAAAGTTCCATTCTTTCAGCCGAGAAATACTCTTAATTTCAAAATTTAGTCAACATGTAGAAGAAATTGTTTTCCAAACATAAGAGCAAAACCAGAATGTTTCAATATTATCAGAGTGATACATTTGTGTCCATTAAAATTGGTGTTTTCTTATTTTTTACTCATTATTGTTTTCTGAGATTTGATGTTCTCCTCCTGTTTCAAAACGGAAAGTTGAAATGGTGACAAACACTGACTCTTCATTGTCTGGCCCAGGACAAAGCCTTACACCACCTCAGCATGGGCCAAGAGCAACTACCGGGCCCCGTGCGCCGCGGGACGGTGTTAAATCATTGCGCTGCCTCACTTTAGAAGCTGAATGGTCAATTACCGATAGTGACACCAGGATCTGAGAGAAAGGAGCATCTTCCAGCGACCAGCCGTTGCCAGGAAAGCTGTCAGACAGGCAGGAAAAAGCAGTGTTTTACATTAGATCCTTGGCTTACATAGAGGCTAGTAAATGCAAGGGAGCCAAGGCATGAGCTCCTGCGTTGACCCTGCTGTCTCACTGTTGGCAGAGCTTGGGCCTCTGCCAGGTGAGCCGTGTCATGTCCCGTGGCCTCAGGGCCATAGCACAAAGCGGGGCTGGTTTGGTTTAATAGCGTAGACAGTCTAGGATGACAGAAGAGGGTACGACACGACGTTTTTTTTTCCAAAATTTCAAACGTCTTGCAGGAGGAGAGAAATGTTTGCTGCCTAACTATATAACTTTCCCAGCTGTGACTGTGTAATGGAGATTAAAGAGGAAATTGTCCATATGTAAAGCAAACAGGAGTTTTCTTATTAACATGAATATAAGTTCTGTGCCCTGAGTTGAAATTGAGATTTCCAAAGAGGATAGATAATATCTGTCTCACAGAGTTACACTTAATTTGGTACAGACAGCTGACTTGGGTGCTTGGCTCCCTTGACTGACCTTGCCAAATAAACTGTACAAGTTGGGGTTAATTGTTGTGCAATTTCTGTCACTCATATTAGGGTCGCGGGTTTATTTTACATTAGCGCCTTTTGGTCACAGCTGAGGAAAAACTGATATAAGCCAGTGACCTAGAAATGAAGAGCTCTGTATCTTCTGCAGTGCTCTGGGCTGCTGTAAGGTACATGGATTTTCAATTTGGGCCAAGCATTGCTGTGTAGAAGCCTAATCTATGGTTGAAAAATTAGACTGCTTAAAGCCCTGGGATAGTAATAAAAACATTTCCCGGTCATGCGCAGAAGCTCTCTTTTCCCTCCTGCTCCATGGTCTGTGAATGGGCTAGTAATCAGCCGGAGCATGCTGCCTTGCAGCGGCCTTCCTAATGCCTTTCCCTCCTCCCTTTATGGTCCTGCAGCATGCACCCGTGGAGCTGCGTAAGTTTTCCCAGCAGATTGCTGCTGGAACACTGGGACACAACCACGAATAGGGTATTCAGAGGGAACTGAGGACAGATCTGCCTGGGGCCATACGCTGGTGTGGCTCTGAACTGAAAACTGTTGCTGAAAACTGTTCCAGTCTGGTGCAGCCTATAGTGCTGAACCATGAGCAGAAGAAAACAACTTTGTGCCCAAGAGGGCTGCACCGCTACTGGTGTGCTGGACTTGGAGGGCACGATAATAAACAAAGTAATGAGCAGATTGTTTCCATCTGTAAAGTGCTATTGCATGCAGGAAATCATCTTGCTTATCACCACTCAGCTAACCTGCAATTCTAGATGATAACCTTTAAAGTTATTGATACTCTCTAAACATTGAAAAGTTATTTTTACTCCAGTGTGCTTCTCCTGCTGGGAGATGTGAGAAATTTAGAAAATACTGACGTGTTCTGACCCACTTAGAACAAGGAAACCAGTCAGTTGGTGATTTCCTTTGTATTCCCAGCTAGAGGCTTCTTTTTTACTTTTCCCTTTGGTATGACTCTTTTAAAAGTGTCACGGTGTCTTCTTGGTTTTACTCTGAGCAGAAAGCCAAGTTAGGAGGCTTTCTTGATAAAAATAAATACAATTATTTTGTCTGTCTTCATGCCTTGGACAACTTTGCAGTAAATTTTGTCCTTTTCCTCAAATTGCTAGGGAGCCTGACTGAAAACATTTAGTGAGTTGTCTGTTCTCAAGCATTACCAAACTCATTCCTATGAAATAGTAAAACTAGGTAGGAATAAATAATTAATTCAGAAATTTGTGAAGAAAATCTTTGTAAGAGCCTGTAGAAAGGGGTTCCCTTTACTTTCTTGACACAGTCATTTCTTTCCGCTGAATTGTACATGTACGGTATTGTAGCTGTATTGTAGCTGTATGATATGCTGGACTATTGTCTGAGATGGAGAGAAGAGTTTTTATTTCATTATAAAATACCCTTGCTATCACTGTAAACACATTACCCTGATTGACTAGATTCCATTTTCAGCTCTGAAAAGTTTAGTCCCGTCCGCACAGGACTGACTGCATGTTTGGTTCTACCCGTTAAGTAATTAAAAATCCTAGAAATAAAGAAAGAATTGGATTATATCCAAATTCCTTCCTCAGTCATGCCTTAAGTGCATGCTTTTTAGTCCAGACTAAGTTCTGATTATGAAAATTGTATTATAATTAAGAGTAGGTCAGAATGTCACTGACCTTTTCTGCTAAGTGGTTTGAACGAAGGAGGAGAGGTGGAAAATAGCTGCCTTCTCATTTGCACTGTAGCTCAAATGGAATTAAATGTTTCTTTAAACCCTTCTTCAAAGAATAGAAACTTCAAGCCACCTTTCTCTATCTCTGAATTTCAGTATCAGATCCAATAAATGCAGAAACATCAGCTGATGGAGAGATTTGCTATTGGGCGAGTTTAAATGCTTAAATGGGCTCATGCCTGTCCCTATTCAAAGCAGTTTTTAAAGTCTGTGGTTTACTTTAAGCATAAGCCTCATTCATTGATTTCCTCTTAGCCATTCGTTGAAGAGTTGCCTAGAATAGGAGTGCTTTTCCTAAATTCAGGTTAACACTCAGTTGTAAATAACTACACTATATACATGAACAAGAAGCTATATTCATTACATCAATCACTAAAATGCAAAAGTTGGTGCACCTTCATTGTCATATTGAGTCATTTAGGACAGGATCAAAAACAGGTTTCAGCACCTTTTTCAGTTTCATTCTACTCCTCGCGAACCAGTGGCAATATATGTGACCACATGTGAGAATATTTAGTTTTGTGCCAGTTGCACCATTGCTGACTGGCTCATCAGCTGCATGCGTTAAAATGCCTGGGTCTACATCAGCAAGGCAAGATACTCAACAATGTTTAGACTCCTGTAGTTTTGCTTCATTAAATGGCAAAACAACCAAGTGGTGCCACCAATAAGAGGTGAAGCATCAAGAAACAATAAATTGAAGGTTGGTAATATGGAGGAGGACAAAAATATAGGTTATCAAAGGATAAATCAAATCTGTGACAAAAGGCAGCTGCTGCTGACCACTTCTACATTTTTCTCTATTTCACTCTTAACTCCATCTGAGTGATGGGCTGAATGGAGATTGCAGCCCAAATCTCCTAACATATCATATAAATTAGGGCTGCCCTACTGGCTTGTCATTTTACTGGTATATTGTAGGAGGGTGGTACAATCCCTGAGGACATAAAAACAAGGTAAGGCTTCATTAATTTAGTCTGCTTTTGGTTCTGGTGTCAAACAGCAGCATTCACAAAGCTGAATGTCTTCATGCTTATCTTGAAACTGCAACTTGCACCTGGCTTGGGCATTACAAGTGAAAAATCTAAAACTGAATCTAAAGCAATTTTTTATGTAGCAACTATCTGCATTTGGTACCATCAGACAGCTAGTAACATTCGATGGATAATCTTCCCATCTCTCATCATTTAAAAAAGGCATTTAATTTGTGGCTATTGTTATGATAACACAGCTCAGACGCTAGATGTACATGATCTTGCAAAACTACATAGCCTTAAACAAACATATGTTGTCGCATATCTTTCACATAGATTAGTTTTGTGTGCAAGTTCAGTGGGCTTGGATGTTTGAGGGGGTTTGGCAAATATAATAGTAAGTGCAGGTGTGCAGCAGGCTAATCAGTAAAAAGAAATGAGGTGTATGGGGTTTTGACTCTAGAAAAATTTTCTAAATATCCAAATTAACTAAGGACTTTGGAGCCAAAGATAAACCTAGTGCAAGCAGGTAAGCAAACAGTGACAGTGTATCAGCTATGGATAGATTCTATAAACAGCTTTATGGTGACTTATAGGCTGTGTAAAAGGGCTTTAAAGAGGATGTAGATGGAAATGCTTGTAAATTACGTTCACTCGTTTTCAAGCATACAGTGAAAACCGGGACCACAGCGTTGTTCTAGAGTGACTAATGTTTTACACTATAAAAGTAATCAAGTTTGATAAGAACTTCCCATATTTCATTTGTATTTTATTCACTGGCACTACTTGGGATTTGCAGAGATGAGAAAATAGCTCCCGCAGTGCCTGTGTAGAGGTACATAACACAGTGGTACAAAGTGCACCCGAGGTATGTGGGTCCCTTAAACTCCCACCACTCCTGCAGCAAGGCATCCAGCAGAGCCAAAATGGGGAGGGTTCAAAGTCCTCTCTTTTCTGCTGTCCTTTCCTGAAGTTATAA